TTCTCTCTCTCTCTCTCTCTCTCTCTCTCTCTCTCTCTCTCTCTTTACGCGTAGGATATACGCACTCGCGCGCCCACACATGTGCGCGCGCGCGCACACACACACACACACACTCGCTTGATCGACACTTAAGAGTGAATGTAAAACCCAAAATTAAATTAACTGCAATTTATAAATATGAAATTATTCAAATGATTAACATTGATACCGAGTTTATCTTTATTCAAAACGGTTTGGGGGAGGGAAACCTCTTATTATCTTTTCAATTAACTTCATCTACATGCTGGTCCAAAAACTCTGTCCACAAACTGATTAATTTCTTTGTCTTGGTAAGTGCTTTACCGCGTGCACTCGCTACTGCATAAGATCACATGAGCGCGCTAGACACATTAAACATTTTTAGTTTTGGTATACATTGTTTGAATATTGCCCAGGTGGCGGCCGAAGCCTACTCTTATTGATTTTGACCAACAATTGATCTTTAATTACGTGCGCAACTTGCACTCGGCACCCCCGAAAGTCGTTTTTTGAGAGGAAGGGGGGAGGGGGGGGGGGAGAAAATGGAAACGAAAGCAGACGACAGAATTTGGTTAGAGAGGAGGAAAGGAGGTAAAAGGAGAAAATCATATAGAAAAAAAAATTCCGTCGATGTCAGGTTTCGAACCCGGGACCTATTAGATGAGAGGCATACACCGTGATTTCTCTTTGCACTGCCAATTGACAGGATCATGAATGAAGCCACCAGAGACAAGCGCAGTGGAATAGAGTGGATCCCTTGGCAGCAGCTGGACGGCTTGGACTTCGCCGATGACCTTGCAATGCTCTCTCACACACGACATGCTCAGATGCAGGTAAAGACCAAAGAACTCAACAGCCTATCAAGGAGTGTTGGCCTACGTGTATACACCCTGGCAAGTCGAAAGTAGTGAAGCTAGGGAAAGTATTAAGCCCTGCTGTGACAGTGGAAGATACTCCCGTAGAAGAAGTGGACTCCTTTACCTACCTTGGAAGTGTCATCAATGGTAAAGGTGGAACCGAGGCAGATGTAAAAGCAAGAACCGCAAAGGCAAGGTCAGCATTCAAGTAATTATCATGTCTGGAAAGCAAGCAACTTCTCAATGTACACCAAGATTCGACTCTTTAATTCCAATGTCAAGTCTGTGCTCCTCTACGGCTGCAAAACTTGGAAGACAACAAAGACAGTACTGAATAAAGTCCAGACTTTCATTAACCGATCTATGAGGAGTATCCTAAAAATTAAACACAGTCACTGCAATGGAACCCACAGGGAGCACGAGGCAGGGGTAGGCCACGGGAAACATTGAGGAGATGTGTGAAAAGGAACACAAGAGAGATGAAGCTCACTTGGAACGAGCTTGGAAGGATGGCTCGGGACAGAGATGTTGTTGTTTGTTGTTTTCAAATCCCTTTAGCTGCGAGCATTTCGCTCTTGGCAGCGCAATGCCTCCCTCAAGTAACCACATGTCCTTGTCATCTGGTCAACGCCAGAGTAGAGCAGGCTTTGTAAGTTTGTGGGTGTGTGTAGGAGCTTGCGTCGAAGAACTGCCAGGTTTGGGCAGTGAAGGAGAAGATGTTCAACCGTCTCCTCGTAGTAGTCACAGTGTCTGCAATGGGGTTCCCACATGGGGTTGATTCTGTTTATGTGCTTGTTAGTGTGTAAGTGTCCTGTGCGGGCTCTGAAGATCAATGTCTGATCGGCTCTACATAAAAGATTCTAAGGGTCTTTGGGGTTGGGTTTGTCCATGTTCCCGAAGAGAGATCTTCCTGTTTCTGCGTTGGCCCATCTGTTTAGCCACTCGTCTCTGCTTTTGACTTGGATGATCCCTCTGCAGGTCTGTGAAGAGGCGGTTGTGTCTGTCTGGGGCAGGCTCGCTCCAGTCTTCGATAGATGATCTGCAGTCTCATTCCCCGGTACTCCAGAATGGCCAGGCACCCACTGCAGGGTGACCCGGACGCCATAGGAAGTGCCCATCTGTTTTACAAGGCTGAGGATGTTCCCGTCACCTCTGTAGTCTCCTCCTCCTTCGACGGCTTGGAGTACTGACATTGAGTCAGAGAAGACAACAACATCCTTTGGTGTTACTGCGCCTTCAAAAAAGTCTTGAGCGATCTGTTCCAAGGTCGTTACTATGGCGATTCTCTCTGCGTCATAGTTATAGCTGTATGTTCCACATGGGCCAAATAGTTGGGTCTGCTTCTTCTCTCCAAGGTTGTTTCGATATTTGATGGTAGATCCGCATCCAGCATTTCGTGTAGCGTTTGTTGCTGACCCATCTGTGTATGCATGGATTGGAGTTTCAGCATTCGAGTCCACTGTCTCCAGGGCGCTAGTTCTAAGGATTTCTTCTGGTGTGGTCTTGTCACAAGAAGGGTCTAAAAGTCTCGTCCTTATTATTGTGATTTCTGGTGTCTGCCAATATGGAGGTTCGCTGCTGATGTTGGTGATTGGTTCTCTGTTCTTGGGTGGGTCAAACTCCTCAAGTAGTTTTGTTGCTTCTCGCATAAAGGAGGTTTTCTGGATACGTGTTCTTGGTTCCCACTCATCTGCCATTTTTCTGTTTTCGTTCGTGTCTTCTAGCCGCACAAATCTTTCATAGGTTTCGAGTGTAGCACTCTTTCATCTGAGGTCCAGTGGTTCTATGTTGGTGTGGATTTCGCAGGCGCTTGTAGGCGTGGTCTTCATCGCGCCAGAAACAAATCTGAGTGCTTGGTTCTGTGCTCTGTCAAGTTGTGCCAGGGAGCTTTGGCTGGCTATGGATTGTAGTGGTAGGGAGTAGTCAATTACAGATCTGACATACCCTATATAAAGTTTTCGGAGGGTTGCTTTGTCAGCTCCCCAGTTGAATGATGAAAGGTGTTTCAGGAGGTTTAGTCTGGAGGTGGCTTTCTTGGTCAGCTCCCCTAAGTGCTCTTTGAGAGACAGCTTTCGGTCCAGTTGTACACCAAGGTACTTGGGATAGTCCTCATGTCTGATGGTGGTTCCATTGATCTTAAGGTTTACCTGACATGCTGTAACTTTGTTTTTGAGGCTGAAGAGTCCTAAAACAATCTTGTCTGTGTTGATCTCCATCTTCCATAGCTGGCAGTAGGATGAGATAGTAGTCAGGTCTGCGTTGATGGCTTGGTTCAGTGCTCTCATGTCACTTCCTTTGCTCCATATGAATAAGTCGTCAGCGTAGAGTGCTTTCTGGCAGGAGATGACATCTGGCAAGTCGTTCATGAACAACAGGAAGAGGGTACAGCTGAGTGCTGACCCCTGTTGGACGCCTTCCTCAAGTGTCCTCTGTAAAGAAATCTTGCTGTCACATGACGTCTGGATAGTTACGGGACAGAGATAAATGGAAGAAGTTTGTATGTGGCCTATACCCTGCCAGGAGTGAAAGGCACTGATGACGATGATACACTGTGACCTCTTGACCACGAGAATTCCTTATTGTGTCAAATGTCAGAAAACTTGAAGTAGAAAAGGCATACAGGCCTACATATGTACAAACACACAAGTCACACACACACACACACACACACACACACACACACACACACACACACACACACACACACACACACACACACACACACACACACACCATTTCGCTTGATCGACACTTGTGGGAATGTCAGACCCAAAAATGAACTTCAATAAATGAAATGATTCAAATGAATAGCATTATACAGAGTATATTATCTTGATTCAAAACGATATAGGGGAGAGAAACCTCTGCGGTCTTTTTGATTAATTTAATCTATAATACGTGCTCCAAAACCTGGGTCCTGATAATTTCTTATTGTGACAAATGTTGCAAAACTTGAACAGATACGCGCTTACGTACACAAACACACAAACACACACACACACACACACACACACACACACACACACACACACACACACACACACACACACACACACACACACACAAACACACTCAAAACAAAAAAAACAAAAAAACAACAACAAAAAAACACACACGCATAGAAAGAAGGCAGAGGAGGCTGAGGAGAGAGAGAGAGAGAGAGAGAGAGAGAGAGAGAGAGAGAGAGAGAGAGAGAGAGAGAGAGAGAGAGAGAGAGAGAGAGAGAGATACCCCCTGCCCCCCATTTTAGTTATTCACAACAAGCCAAACAGGCAATGATCACTCCTTATTTTTAGTATTTTGGTCTGCCACAAAACAAGTCGTTTTGCTATTATAAAAAAGTTTTTAATGAAGATATTCTCAGTGAATGTCGAGCAGTTTTAGACCTGCAATATAATGTTCGTATAAATTTTTAAACATATAGAACCAATTTAGTCATTTTTATAACAAAATTAATTAATTTTGAAGAATAATATGTTTAGTTTCATTTGCTTGCAAATTTATAAGCAGGTTGGCTTGGAACGTTGGATCTGGCAACCACAGTTGCACATTTCACTTCTGTATTTCCGGTTCCTTTTCTAACCCTTTCCTAACAAGAAGCCATTATGGGTGAGAGTGCTATGAATATGTCTTATTTGTTATCCTTTTGAATCGACTTTAATTTTCAATGGTGACTGTTACTATGTGGTTTAATATTGTAGCAACATTTCATAGTTACATTGGAAACATTTCAGCTTTGTAGAATTGTCAGATGCATATAAAATGTTGAGCAGAACATCGCTACCCATGTAGGAAAACAGAACACCGGGATATTAGGTGTATCTCCACGAATTTTTGTCTGTAAATTTAGTCGTAGTACTTTATTTACAAAGATAATCATGCCCATTTTATGAAACTACTAATGAGTTTGGTATTTTTTAGCCGTAATGTTCTTCTGTCGGCTTAAAAGTTCCTGCAGGAATTGTTTGAGCTGATCATGGAGGTTAGCTATAATGTTTGTTTGGTAACTTAACTGACCATGCCTTCCATAACATCATGTAATGTGTAAAATTTTCAACCACACTCAGGAGTTTTAATGTTGATGCTTGGATAAAGAACTATATTCCTTGCAGATTGGGAGCTTATAGTTATCTAGATCTAGATTCTAGATCTCTAGATCCAGGGCCTGTCAACGTTGGAACTTACTTGTTTGAGCATCTAGGGCAGGGGCCCTAGATTAATTATAGATCTAGAGTAGGCCCGCATCACCGCGCTACTGTTTTGGTGCGCAACCCCCGGTCTCCTGCTTTGTTTTGGATAAGAACAGCGAAAACGAGGTCATTTTCTGTGAGCATGCGCAGAATGCAGCTTATTTCACTTTCGTTTTGGAGGTTCCTGTCAACACACGTGATTCTACGGTGTCGGAAAGTTTTGCCCCTTCATATTAATGGTTTTCGTAACCGGTATCGATCAATTTACTAAGCGCTTGAGTAGTCGATTATTTAGCACATCTAGCTAATCTAGCTCTAATGTATCGTAGAATGTATACTAGAATCGATAAATACTATCGCAGGCTGCTTCTTAATGCCCAGGAACGTGTTAGATAGGGTTGCGCACTGAAGAGGACCAAATTTGGGCAGTCCGTTTCGTGTGCAATATCGGCTTTTTTGCTATTTGGCATTGATAGTGTGGCTTCTAGGCCCTTTGTTTGTTTTACTTATTAAGTTATTTCTCTATGACCTGCATTGTGCACTGAAACAGACTGTTTTCCTTCCATTTGGATGCATTATATTGCCATTGGAAGATGATAAGTTAATGTATTCATGTCAAAATTAATTAATATGGAAATATAATCTCCAAAATGTTCAATTTCTTCTTTTCATGTCTTTTTCTTCTTCTTTTTTGCCCTTTTCCTTAAAGAATACTAGTCTAGGTATAGTCTAATTCTTGTTTTCTTCTTTCACTTCCTTGTGTCCACAGCACCTTTCTTTTTCAATTTCTTCTTTTCACGTCTTTTTCTTCTTCTTTTTTGTCCTTTTCCTTCTAAAATACTAGTCTAGGTATAGTCTTATTCTTGTTTTCTTCTTTCCCCTTCTTGTGTCCACAGCACCTTTCTTTTTATCCATTATCAAAACACATACACAAGGTGTAAGGAAATCTCCTGTCAGGGGGCGCACAGCTCCCAAAAAGAACACGCCTAATTGACCTTGGCCTTCCATTATGGTCAGTACAGGAACTTCTTGCAAGGAAAAGAAGACAAAGCAAGGATAGAGAAAGATGAAAAGTGTCAGAAAAGAGCTAGATCTAGATCTAGAGCTGTAAACATGGTACTATTGCGCACCAAACAAGACGATATGTTGCACCAAACCAGAAACCTTGCGCACCAAACCAGACACACGTTACCAAACAAACACCACCACAACATATAGAAATTTTAAACTGCTGTTACAGTAATGCGCTACACCGTATAGAGAGGAAGTTTTTCTAACTTCTGGTGAAAAAATCATGAAGATCGACCTGTAACTTCCAGAGATATCCACAAAAGATCGCTTACTGTATATCGCACCACAGGATGTACTCTAGATCTAGATTTAGATCTAGTGTTTGATTTGAACTCACCTCATTTCTTACTGACTGGGACTGGAGGCTACCCTTTTCTGGATGGCAAGTTAAATGTACTGCTTAGGTTGAAAGCTAATATTGCTATTTATTCCTTGACAGGTATCTCAAGAGATAAATGGCACAAGCGCAGGGCCACTGGTGGCCGTATGGCCCAGCTCAGAAAGAAGAGAAAGTTCGAGCTTGGAAGACCCCCTGCACACACCAAAGTGAGTATTGGGTCTAGATCTTTGGTAGGGTCGCGTACCATTCCCGAACACTGCAGTTAGGGACATGTATGCTTCCTCAGCACTGGACCGTGGGACACGCATGATAGATCTCTAGATTCTACGCTTCAACAACACTGGACTGATGGGCTAGTTTTGGAAGTTGCTGATAGTTGTAGGGCTGCATGCACACGCTGCCACAGCTCTACGGAATTATTGACCCTCATTTGTGACATCGGCGTCACAGTAGTAGGCTACCAAAGATTCTGTACTACCAAGCGGTGTTTATTTATCTTGAAAACACTAGAAATCACTCGAAATCCCTTTGATTCCTTACCCCCAGACGCTTACCAAAGCCTTGATTTTTCGTCTCATCTCATGGCCGTGACGAAATTGACATGTGGAAATGCTATCCTCGACCGGTCCAGAAATACTGAGATTCTAGCATCGAAGTGTATACAGACCCAGTAACCGAGAACAAACTCTTTTGTGATTTCAGAAAGTTTCAACGTCCAGAGCCGGTAGTGTGTATGTGTGTGAGAGAAAGGGGGGGGGTAGCAAAATGTATAATATGACATGCCAAGTTGGCAGATGGGAACGAGAGAAAGATAGGGTGGGAAATAGGCGTTGAGAAAGAAAGACGGAGACAAAGAATTTTGGCGAGC